GTTGTAATAAACTAAAACCTGTTTGTTGATATGGGAAAACAATCCACTAACATTTAAATTTTTGGTTACAAGCTTTGGAATTGCAGTTAGTCTTTACACATCTTTTTCTGAAATTGGGTTGTATACTTTAAACATATTTTAAACATTGCTGCTTTTTTGTTTTTTTTTCTTTTGTCTTCTGTTTTTTTTCTTTTCTTTTTTCTTTTTTTAAATATTGTTCATCACTGAAAGCTTTTACAATCTGATGGAGTCCGATCCTATACTAGCGAGATTACTACTACAACTACTGCTGTCTTTGAGACAGCCAGGCTGTTGTGGCTCCTCTGCTGGCCTGCCCAGCCTGTCTGCTGACTTCTGACTGCTGTCAGAGTCAGACTCGTCGGAAAAGTCGTCTGTTGGTATCGAGGTCTGGACCCCTGAGGTTCTCAATGAACTTGAGGTAACCGTTGAAGGAGAGGAAACTGGAGGAAAAGAAGATAATGCAGACGAAGGGGGATTGGGCTTCCCAGCTAAAGCTCTGGAGAAAGGGGTCTGGGACCATGATTTGCCTGTAGCTGTTGTGTTGAGTGGAGTGGCTGTGAAGGAGGAGGAGGTGCATGAAGATGCAGACGCTGATGAGGACGGTGTGGTGGCTGACGTTGTTGGCGGAGGGGATGGGGTGTTGTTTGAGTGAGTGGCAGACTGCGAGGTAGATGCGGTGTTAGGATTGGGGAAGAAGGCTGAAGAGTGAGGTAATAAATTAGTAGCGTGCTCTTTGGCATTTCTGGATCTCTTGATTGTTCTGTGTTTGTGCAAGGCTGAATCCAGGTGTTGACTGAGCGCTTTGTCCCCTTCTAGTGTGGTGTTACAGGCGAGGCAGTCATAGAGGCCGCCCTCTGCTGCATTCCCACTGTTGGGGACCCGAAGCAACATCTCTTGCAGGTTTGCCACAGACTGACCAAAAAAACAAATTGACTTGAGGTGGCTGATAGCCGCTTCCTCCTTGCTGAAGACAGCTTGACACTTGCGGCACGCCAGCCGATACTGAACTTTGGGGATGATATATTGGTCAAGATGGGGGTCTGCACCTTTGCCATCCACTTCATGCTGCTCAGTGACTAGGTTGTTGTGAGTGGAAGAGGAAGAGGCTTCAACTGAGGGAGTGCTCTTTAGCTCCTCTGTTTTTACTGGATCTTTGGCAGAGTCCTTACAGTCCACCGAGTTTTGTGAAGTTTGGCTTGCTTTAGGTTGCTGGATCTGCTGAAGCTGCTGCTGCTGCTGCTGAAGTGCCTCCTGCAGGCTCTGTTGATATTGCTGGTAATGTTGAAGCAGAGATCCTGGTGACAGCCCCATCAGGGCCTGTGATAATGCTGGGTTGTAGGGGAAAAGACTTTCCATGCCATACATGGGCTGAAGATATCCACCTTGAAGAGCACCTGGTATCTGAGGGGCATAATACGGAGAGAAACCAGGCATAAAGTAGGGCAGGAACTGACTTGTTAGCAGAGCTGTTGGATCTGAAGCTAAAGCTGCTTGTAGAGCTTGAAGTTGGGCAGTATCGACCACATACTCCATGCCAGGTGTTGGCATCGAGGTGGCCGGAACAGCAGTGTCTGGTTTTTCTTTCTTGGCACTGGCAGCAGAAGTGGAGGGAGCAGGAGTACCCCCAGCTGAGGATGGTGTGGGGGGCTTCTCAGCCTTCTCCTTGGGCTTCTCTTTCACCCTGGCCCTCTCAGGATAACGATCTTTGGGAGCTTCTTGACGAAGGCCTGGCTGGGTCATCAAAGAGTTTGATGTAGATGTGGGGGTAGGGTTTGAGTGGGCGACAGATGTGCTGGCCTGAGCTGGGCTGGGTGAGGCCAATGAAGAGGAGGAAGGGGTCTTGTTGGGTAAACCAGATGTGGGGAGACTAGGTGAGGGTACACTGGCACCAGGCATGTTCAGGAGGTTTGGAGGTTTTGGAGGGGTTAAAGCTGCGGAAATTGACACAGAGAAACACAAAATGATTAAGATTGTTGCTATATACATCTGAGAATTAGCAGATAGTTATACGTTTCATATTTCAAAAGTCTTACTTATACTAGAGACGTAATGTGATGACATACCTGAGTTGGATGAGTTAAAGCCTGGTATGGAGGGACCACCAACACCTGGCAGGAGAACAGGGGGGATTCCCTGTAGATTTGGGTAACCTGACTGAAGGTTCAAGGCTTGCAAGGCAGGTGTGTCAAACATCCCTTGTTGCTGCATGGCTTGTTGTTGTGCTAGTCCCAGGACCTCATTTGCTTTCTTGATACGATCCATCTCCTGCTGTGCCATCAGCTGACGAACCGTCGCTGGATCAAAGTACTCTTTCTCTTTATCAAGCTGGCTTCCAATGGTATCCTTTACTTTGTAGATGTGTTGCTGAGAAAATATGTGGTCTCGCACTGAGAGACGAGCACTGTATTTAACACCACACAGAGAGCATTCTGTCTTAGGTCCCTCGTAAGAAGTTTGGTTGATACCAAAGTGCTTAGCCATGCTGAGCTTAGCTTTCTTTTCCTTAGCACGAGCATTTTGAAACCAGACCTGAACAACTCTCTTTGGAAGTCCAATGTCATTGCCAAGTACCTCACACTCCAGCATGGTTGGAGTCCTATAATCATTGAAGCAGGACTTGAGCAGCTTAAGCTGAAGATTAGTCATCTGTGTTCGGAAGCGCTTTTGACCAGGCCTGTCTCCACTATCAATGCTTCTGCTTCCAGAGGCTCCTGGACTTGGTGAACAAGGGTCAGCCAGGCTAGATGTTTCACTGTAGTCTATCATATTTTCATTTTCAAAGTCTTTTGTGTAGAAGCTTGTTGCAGGGCTCACCAGTCCTGAGGACATCTGTTCATCGTTCTCAATGGAGGGGACTGCGCCCCCAGACTTGGAGAGAAAATCTCCACTGTTATGGCTGTGCTTTGCATCAGCACTATCATTGTCAATATTTGCCTCATCACCTGTGGTAGTGTCAGTGATGGCTGTATTCACAGAAGAACAATCATCATTATCAAGTTTATTTTGATCAAAGTTTGTGTTTACTGAGGAAATGGTTGGGCTTTCAAACTCCTCTGCTCCCTCAACCTTGATAGATGTTGGGCTCAGAAGAGCCCTGGGAGACAAGTCCATGCTTTTGCTCACAGGTGACAGTGATGAACTTTGCACATCATTGTTAGAATGGGCAAGATGAGCATAGCTGGAGATATCCAGAGGATCCATCTTCAACTGCATGGCCTCCTGTTCAGGTAGCATACCGGAAAGTGCTAGGTTGTAACCAGCACGTTTAGCCTCGTGCCAGTGGCGTGAACGAATATGGGCCTCGAGGGCAGTTTTAGCTTTGAATAGGGCTCGACAAAACGGGCAGCGCCGGTGGGCTTGAGCTGGCCCAACAGCCCGAAACTGACCTTTTCTTTCTCTGGCTCTTGTGTTTTGGAACCATACCTGTACCACTCGTTTTTTAAGCCCCACTTCATGAGCAATGTGGTCAAGCATTTTACGAGTAGGGTTGGAGTCAAGCAAATATTTCTGGTACAGAATCTCTAGTTGCTCTGGTGTAATAGTGGTTCGGAGGCGCTTGTCTCGTTGTGGCTCCTCTCCACTATTCATGCTGTCACTTTCTCCTGGACTAGTTCCTGCCTTCTCCTCCAATTTCCTCTTCAGGGAATTCATAGTGGATGTAGGTGTTGATGGGGAGGTGGCAGAGTTGCTGGACATTTGAGGTATTGCTCCTGCAAGGAGCTGGCTAGCAAGCAGAGGATTGCTAGGATCAAACAACATGAAGGACATGTCCATTGGGCGATCCAAAAACTGAGGATGAATGAACTGATTTTGGACACTCAGGAAATGCAGTTGCTGGTGTTCCTGCCAGTGTTCAAATGAAGGGAAGGCAAGTTTGCACTGCTCACACTGGTACTGGATCATTTGCTGGGCCAACTGCTGCTGTGAAGCAGAGGCTAAATGTGGATTAAGGGCCATGTGGGAACTCTGGGAGGTCTGACTGGTATGTGAAATGGAGGAACCACTATGCTGTTGGGACAGGGAAGGTGAAGAACGCTTTGAATTCTTTGTGACTGTATGTGTCTTTTCCTCTCTTTGTGGTCTCTGCTGTGGAGACTCAGATGGATGAATGGTTTCCTGTTTCAAAGATGTCTGCTCTCTTTGGGCAAATGATGCTTCTGAAGAGTGTTTTGATTTTTCATCAAAAGAGTTTGATGTGTTACTCGGTGTAGGCTCCTCCTTTTCAGATGATGTGATGTGAGAGAATGCAGTGGATGAAGGCGGAAGAGGGCAGAGGCTTGAAGATGAGGGCATTGGTGTTTGACCTGATGACCCAGATAGAGTATAGTATTCATGAGAGAGATCCAAAGAGTCCTCATTTAGACTGTCATACTGCCAGTCTTCCTCCTCATCTTTGTAACAGAGCTTCTTTTGGTGTTTAATAAGGTCAAATATGCGCTGGAAAACCAGGCTGCACTTCTTGCACTGATAGTTTAAGTTGGTAGTACGAATGTATCGGTCATTGGATAACTCGCGTCGGTCACCTTCTTTTCCCCCATCTCCCTGGTTCTCATAATTTTTACGGGCTTTCTGTCTGGCATTTTGGAACCACACAACAATGACTCGAGTTGGAAGGCTCAGAAGATTGGATAACTGCTCAAATTCATCATCTTTAGGATAAGCATTAGCATCAAAGAAATCCTGCAGTACCCTCAGCTGGTAGTCTGTGAACCTTGTCCTTGAGGACCTCTTATTTCCAAATGATTCTGGTTTTTGAGGCTCAGGGGAGGGTGGCTTTGAATCAATTTTGGTATCTTCTAGGGTTGTAATTGGAGGGTTGTTAAAATTATAAGGTGAGTCTTTGTTGCGTTGTCGCTCTTTAAAGAGTGTATTGCGGAACCAGTGCTTGATGACTTTCTGGGGGAGTCCTGATTTATCTGCCATTTCCTTAATTTGGTCCTCATTGGGAGAGTTGTTGATATCGAAATATTGGCGGAGCACCCTTAGCTGGTCATCTGTGATACGGGTGCGGGGTCTCTTATTCTGTTGCTGCAACATGGCAGGGGTAAGCTGCTGTTGGTAGAGCTGGGCCAGATCAGTGGCCAGACTGGGCTCCACAGCAGGCAGTTGGGCAGGAATCTGAGAAGGTAATGACTGGAGTGACATGGGCTGCATCATAAGGGGAGAGAAGAGAGGGAGATCCATTGGCATTGGAATTTGGGCCAGTGGAACTGGAGGCTGAGGGGTTGGAGCAGTTGGTGGTGTCAGGGTAGGAGCAGAAACGGGTATATTTGGTGTTGGTACCCTTTGGGGAGGCGGAGGTGGGGGTGGAGGTGGTGGAGCAGCTTCGGGTGTCTGAGGTCTCAATGGGTACAGCTTGTCATATTGTTCTCTGTACTCTTTGGCAAATCTCTCTAGGAATCTGAATGGAAAGAAAGCCTGGTGGATATGCTCCTGATGACTCTTGAGAATCAATATGTTGGAAAAGAGCTTACCACAAGTCTCACACTCCAGTTTCTCTAATCCTTCAATGGGATCAACTATTCTGGTGATACCAGCTGGCCCACTGCATCCTGACAGAGATCCCATTGGCTTTCTTTGTGCTTTTTGCTTGTTCTCATTGTACTGAATTACCAACTCGAAGCCAAAATTCTCCAGTAGGGCTTTGGTGGCATTCCCTCGGGCATCTGAGGCAATCCTTGGAGGAGGAAATCCAGAGTCATGGTTCACATTTACAACAGCTTGAGGAGCATCTTTCTTTTCTTTGGACTTGTCTGACATATCTTTTGGAACAAGATCCTCAGCTTTATCACTAATTTCTTTATCCTTTGGCAGCTCCCTTTCTTTCTCAGTGTGAGGAGATCGCTTTGGCTTTTTGTCTACAGGGTGAGAAAGAGCACTCTGCTGAAGTAAAGCCATTTGGCTTGATACTTGGGAGTGGGAATGAGCTTGGTGCTGTTGCTGAAGGTGGTGGTGCATAAGCTGTTGTTGTAAGCAGCTCTGCTGTGCCTGCTGGGCAGAGTTTTTCTGTTCTTCCAATAGTGAAGCAGTAGATCCACTCAAGTTCAATGAAGAGCTACTCAGGTTCATTTCTGGATTCAGTTGAAATTCTGCCCCAGGAATGTAAAACGGAAAGAGCAGCTGCTGTTGCTGAAGAGAGAGAAGAGCTTCTGTTGCCATAGGGAAGTGCTGGAAAAGAGGGTTAAAAAGCTGGGACTGAAGGAGAGCAGCCTGCTGGAGCTCTTGTTGGAGTTGAGCCTGTGCCTGCGCTTGAGCCTGGGCCAACTGCTGCTGCTGTTGCTGGAGTTGTTGCTGATGACCCCTTAAAGATAGCATATCTGCAAATTTCTTCTTTTTCACTTCATGATTCTCAGAAGGAGAGGGATGACAGGCTGAGTTACCCAAATTCTCAACATTGTGAGAATGACTTGACAGATGATTACCTCCCATGATGCTCTGTGATGTCTGAGCTCCAGCTGGAGAGCTGCTTCTGTTGCTGGAGCTGGTTGTTGAGTTAGTGGCTGGAATAGGGCTTGGGGTTGAAGTGCTATTGGAAGTGCTTCCGCTTGGGCCACTGCTGCTAACAGCACTAGATGTGCCGCCAGCTGCTTCAAGCTTTGCTGCCCTGGCCTTGGTTTGATGAAGAACAGAGCGCATGTGAATCTCCAGTGTAGAGCTCTGGCTGTATGCTACATTGCAAGTGCTGCACTTGAAGGGTTTATTATCAGGGCTGCTTGTAGTCTCTGGCTGACCGGTGGTGGATTCCTGTAGGGCTCTTTTGACTTTGTGCAAGTGAGACACAGAGTTGTAGTGTACAAGAAGAATATTCTTTTGGGTAAATGACTCTTTGCAGACTGTACACTTGAAAGGACGGGATGGATCTAGAAACTTCTCCATAGTAAAGTTGGGGCCTTTCCTAAATGGCAGGGCTCGTTTGGGTTCAGATCCAGAATCTTCTTGCAAAGATCCAGAGTCACTGCCAGTTGGGCTTTGCTTTTCCTCTGGGTCACTTTCGTCTCCCTCTTTCTCATCATCAATAAGAGCTCCCTGGTCCTCTCCAAGTGAGGGATCACCCATAATCATTAGGTCTCCATTCATCAGTAAACCTCCATAGAGCTGTTGGATGTCAGCTTCACTCAACTCCAGGTGATTGGTCTCCAGATGCTTCTTAAGTGCCTGTAGGGTCCTGAAGCTACGCTGGCATAAACAACACATTGTGGCTGCTCTGATTACATGGTATTGGGAATGCAGCTGAAGTTTCTCTATTGTCTTGAATGCCAAACTACACTGGTTGCAGCGATATTTGTAGACATGACGATCAGAGACAGGCAGTTGGGGCCTTTTATTGTGGACCTCATTGAAGTGCATCTGAAGGGCATTGGAGGATTTAAAGACTTTGTTACAGCCCTTTTTCCAGCAGAGGAAACCAGTGGAATCATCTCTTGCAGGCTGTTGTTCCTCAAGAGGAGACTTGCGAGCTTCAGCAGTGTCTGACGCCAGACAAACTCCTTTTTCAGGCTCAACATCTGCCACCTCTGCAATCAGAAAAATAACACACATTAAAATTCTGATAACATATACATATGTGTTTAAAATGTGTTTCCTCAATTGCACAACATTCTAACCTGTTTGTTTCTTCTTAATGTCATCAGAGTTTGAGTTGACCATGGACTGAGGTGCGGTTTGAGTATCCTTCTCTGGTCCAGGGACTGGTATGAAAATGCTTGCTGGCAGAACTTCTGATGCTGCCACCTGGAAAAATAAAAACATAGTATTTGTTATGATAATTATAGGCCTTAAAAATAGCCTCTTAATAAGAAGTGTAGAACATCTCAAATTAATGTAAAGGATAAACAAATTACACATTCAAAACAGACAAAATGTCTGCATCACATACAGTAATCCTTCATTGAAAAAAAAGTTTGTAAAAGAAAAAGATTAATATAAGGTGGTACAGGTGAGAGGTGTGCTATAAACATAAAAATAAATAATTTGATAAGATAATCATATCATTTGAACTGGACACAAACACATTTACTGTCCCCCTCTTTCACACAGACGACTTAATTTGCCATCCATGGAATTTGCACTTTAATCATTGATGGTTTTTTGTCATGCTCTGCGATAGTTCTGCTGCTGCAGCCAATTAGTGTGATGGGCTGAGTGGTCTTCCTTGGCCAGTTGAAAAGCTTATTAGAGAGCCTAATTAAATAAGTCTTCCACCTCATAAAATGTGCTTTTCATTCCAATAGAAAAGCATGGTGCAATGGTGAAATGCCGTCATTCAGCCTGGAATTCTGGGTAATGCAACAATTGTCATACAGCGCTCATTACTATGCTTTCCAGCAAACCAGAATATTTTAATCTAAACAATTATGCAAATTATTACTTGAAACAAAGTCATTAATAAAAAATATAGATACATTTAAATGTAGGTAGATGGCAAGCAGCATGTTTTTCAGTCAATTTAATAAGAAAAATTAAAGTAGCAATGAATATTGTTGTGATAAAGGTGCACCAAGGTTTGCTTGGCACAAAGGTTGAAGTAAATCAAGTGTGAATGACAGCAACCTCCCCTCTATCTTTTAAGTGCACATGATTCTCCATGCATGGCTCTCACTCTCTCGCTATCTCTCTCTTTCTCAGAATAATAATAAAAAACAGATTCATTAACAGGATCCTATTTAACATTAATCAGTGATTGAGATTGGAAAAGGTTGGGAGATGAGCCACTGTGTGCTTCACCTTCCTTCATTTAACTCCCCAAACTGAACAATCAGCCTCACTCATCATGCATTTCAATACCCCAATCTCACAAATATATCCCCCTTCTCTCTCTCTCTCTCTCTCTGCATATATAATTTTTTTCATCCCTTGTTTGTGCAAACTCTGTGCCTCTTTTTACCACCCCATGACACAACCAATTCTATTTTTCTCACATCAGACATCAGCTTCACGTCTGTAGGAGTTAGAATTTTATTACTGCATTGAAAATATTTGGTAACACTTTATAATAACTTTCATTTATAAATCATTAACAAACATTATATAATGCTTAACAGATCATTAGTTTATATATATATATATATATATATATATATAT